AAATGAAATATCCAGGACACAAGTTAAAAGGGACAGGATACCAGGCTAATGACCATAAGCTAGGCCAATGGTCACCCCAGACCTTGGACTGTGGCAAGAGTTAGACAGAGATGCTATCTACCTTTGCTGTTCAGGGGAACATATCAAATGACTTTTATTTCAATCAGAATCTTTGGTCAAATGAGATCTAGCTCCATTCCTACTCCCTATATACTTATGTCTGCCTATGGAGGCTTCCTTCTTGGTTTTTCGGGAACTAGAACACAGAGGTTATAAGCACCAGCTCTGGAGCCAGACTGCCTGGATCCAATCCTGGCTCTACTGTTTATTGTTTGACCTTGGGTAAGCTACCTAACATCTTGGACTTTCAATTGCCTCATGTAATAATCCCTCCCTCCCAAGGGGGGCTGTGCAGATTAAATGAGTTAATATATGTCAAGTGTTTGGAACAGTGCCTGGCACACAAGGCAGGCTGTGTGCACAGTTTTACTGTTATTAGTATCTACCATGTACCAGACAGAGGAGACTTGTGAGCTAGATATAGCTCAAGGATTTGTGGTGTTGCTTTGTAGGTATGATAAAAACTTTAATTAGAGGTAAAAGATACAAAGTTGGAGGTTTCCTATAAAAAACCAGATATCTTCTGGGAGGCCGAGGAATGAGACTGTTTGAGCTTAGGAGTTCGAGACCAGCCTGTCCAAGACTGAGACCCCATCTCTATTAAAAATAGAAAAATTAGCTGGTTGGTCCCTGCATCCATGTAAAAAAAAAAAAAAAAAAAAAAAAGAAAAATTAGCCAGGTATGGCACACGCCTGTGGTCCTAGCTATTGGGGAGGCTGAGGCAGGAGGATCGCTTGAGCCCAGGCGCTTAAGGTTGTTGCAGTGAGCTATGATGATGCCACTGCATTCTACCCTGGGTGATAGAGAAAGACTTTGTTCCCCCTCAAAAAAATAGGGGGGGAAGGGCAACATAACCTAAACACTTGTACCCCCATAATATGCAGAAATAAAAAAAAGAAGAAAATCAGAACGCTGGCTGGGCACAGTGGCTCATGCCTGTAATCCTAGCACTCTGGGAGACTGCGGCAGGAAGATCACTTGAGGTCAAGAGTTTGAGACCAGCCTGAGCAAGAGTGAGACCCCATCTCTACTAAAAGTAGAAAAATTAGCTGGGCATGGTGGCATGTACCTGTAGTCCCAGCTACTCAGGAGGCTGAGGCAGGAGGATTGCTTGAGCCCAGGTGTCTGAGACTGCGGTGAGCTACAATGACGCCACTGCACTCTAGAGTGACTAACAGAGTAAGACTCTGTCTCAAAAAAAAAAAA